CCCTCGGCGAGCAGGACAAAAAAAAGGGAGGTGGGGTCTCACCTTGACTCATGAGTTTCCAAAAATTAAGTCACACGAAGCAATGAAACTCTAAGCCTTGAGTCCTTGGAATTAGCATCGCAGTTTAAGTCAGCACCAGTCAGCCATGGTGCGCTTTCGCCACTTGAGGGGTCGTGGGAGTGTACCGAACTTCGAGACACGGGTATGCCGACAGCCCACGTGGAACCGGCAAACTTGACAAAATCTGCAACGCATCCTTTCAATTTTCCAGGCCAGAGTAGTCATAGCCGCGTTTCAACGTTCTGGGGGAACGATATCGAGTTCGACATCATAATTCACAAAACTAGCTCAAGCGGAAAATTAAGGATCATCAGTCAACTACTGCAGTAGTTATTTTCACGTAAGCAACATCAACAGAAAACTAATGACCGTTGCCAGTCACTTCATGCCATTTATTTTACGGATGCAACTCTCCAACGCTGAAAATTGATGACTTTACACTTTGCGAGCTTTAAGCTTTTCATGCTATCTGGTCTTGATGAATGGTTATTCTAGTTAGTAGGCTTCTATAAAAAAAACTCGAAGAAGTATTCAAACTATCAAGCTGAGCGATTTACTACCAACCCTAGCCCTTGCGAATTTTTTGACAATAAAATACGCCCTAATGGTATTGCCTGTTTGGCGGACGAGTTGTACTGAAGACTGCGGACCACTTGGATGGCTTACATAACTTTGAAATGCTGGGGCTTTACTCACATACTTCTCCCGAATTCTCACGGCAAGCGACAGTAACTACCGTATCCTTACACTGAAAACATGAATATATCCCATCATAGTGCACGACTTAGCGATCGGCTGCGGCAAGCCCGATGCGACTTTCGGGAAGACCTACCCACACCCCCGCCAGAATCCACTGATAGAGTATAAAGGTTACTTTACACTGAAAACTTGAATATATCCCGTCATAGAGCACGACTTAGCGATCGGGTACGGCAAGCGCGATGCGACTTTCGGGAAGACGTACCCACACCCCCACTAGAACCTTAGACCTAGAAGGTATTTCTTGTTAATTGGTATTATTTCGCTACAATTCGCGAAGCAAAAGTCTCACAAGGTTGCCAATTTGTGGACAAAACTTCGGCCTCGGACGGAACTCAAAACCGTACTTGTGCTTCCTGGGTGCGCTTCGTTGCGCGCATACGTCGACATTAGGTCACACCGCTATGCGGCGGGTCAGCCCGCGATCGTTAACCAATATCGCAGTTGTCAGCGGGGCATACGAATTGCGCTTGGTCCACGACAGTCGGCCAAAGAGAAGATAACACGGACAAATGCAAATCATTCGCTCCACCTACAGTTGGTGGTACTGTAATGTCGTCTTCGAGACCTCAGTGGTGTGCGCCGTGCGCAAGGGGGCGGGATGGCCTACTTTTGACGGACGCGCGCAACGGACGTTCTCCGTGCTTCCTGAACACCGTGCCTTTTGTCCCGTACGCTACTGAGACCCCCTTTCCGCTGGCCTTTTCAACGGCTTACATGCCATAGCTTAGAGCGGTAGTTTCTATCACTATTTTAAGAGACATAACCTTACAAGTGAAGTTCTTGCATTCTATCAAAGACACACGTGGGTAAAGATGCCTGGGCATTTTTGCAATAATCAATCGAATATCGCCGAATTGATCTGATTTTCTTAGCTCATGGAAAGTGATGTTGGTCCTACAGCATAGCAGCGATCGAGTGTAGACCCTTTTCNGACTGATTACCGCCTAGGACTATCATTATCCTTATCTCAACAAAGCTCCGATCTAACACCACCGAAGATCATTTCTGTGAGAGAGCGCAAACGGGCGAAGAAGGTTTAGGCNTTTTTTTTCTCCGATTTATGGGAAAAGAATTATGTGAGGTGGCCTTCTACTCAAAGGTTTGGCGATTTCCGCAAGAAGGCACGATAAGTGTGGAAATCGCCAAACCTTTGATAACTCAAAATGTAGCGAGTTCTCGGCAGAAACTCCCAGCTCCCAGAGGGTGAAGGAAGTTGCTCAGAAAAAGTGTGATAGAAAATAAATGAACCCTGGGAAGTGATCCCACATCCATCCTACTCCCAGGGTGTCTACGTAAACATGAATGATAAATGAGTGAGGTAAGATGACGGGAAATTTCTGGGGTGTGACCTGACCTAGTGGGAGAAAGGTGCAGAGAGGGACAGCTAGAGCAACTCGTAGGCGTCGCGCACGCCCGACCAAATTCAAAAGGAACTTCGATCCAGTGTAGCGAACGGCGAGACAACCACTTAGGATTCCTCTTTTGAGCCGATGTGGACTCCCACCACACCCGTGGAGGGGTTCAAGTTAGAAAGAAAACTGAGCTCCACGTTTGGGAAACAAACCCCGTATCCAAATGATAACGTCTGGATAAGCAGATCAATACTGGAAGAGATGTGTCGATGGTATAAAAGCCTTGGCTAGTAGGGTTGAATCACTTTTTAGCTTTCGACTAACCACCAAATGGCAAGCAATGACACGGTTGATGTGGAGATTGGAAAGAAGACAGCGGCCGATGACAAGGAGAAAGAAGAAGAGAAGGTACCGGCGGCCATGGATGGAAGTCATGGACATCCATGGAACAGTAGACGAATCTGAAGCATTCCAGGTCTTGAAGGAGTTCCAGTTCTATCACGGTTACCTACCTCGAGAAGATTTATTGTTCGTATTGAAAAACGAAGGAGACTTTCTCCTACGTGTCAGTGAAGTTGGAAGTGGAGACAAAACGGTTGGGTTCCCACATCTCTGTTCCCACTACGACTTCTGTCATCCCACTAATCCTTCACATTGCAGGTAGAACCGGACATGATGAGCAGAAGGGCTATGATTTTATCAGTTCTAGTCTCATTAACACCAGGAACTGATGCACCTTCAAAGATGGGAACACCCCATGCAACTGTTAAGGTAAGTCTTTCTATTGGAGCAAGCGTCATCTGGAGAAAAACGTTCCTGAAGAATGATGTGGTGTCGATCATCTAGCGACGGCAGACCGCTCAGACAGAACGACCAGCTCTCGAAATCGGCATAGCCTACCACTCGGATGATAAGGACTTATCATTCATGATCGGGTGTAGGAGCGAGAGGGCACTATCACACAGATGGTACAGGGATCGAATCCAGAGCTGATGTCCGCCCGGGCCAGTCGGGTCTTCTATCCCTCCGGGATCATTTCATTGGTACCACACTCATCTGGGAGGATAAAAGCAATGACTTGTGCATAGCTGATCACCGAATTTAATGTGCAGGCCACATACACATCCAAAACGTCACTGCGGTTATGAATGGATGTTGAATGCGAGGGTCACCCCGGATGCGGGACTGATTACCGCCTAGGACTATCATTATCCTTATCTCTGTGAGAGAGCGCAAACGGGCGAAGAAGGTTTAGGCGCCTTGCTTGGCAAGCCCTCAAATGGGTAACCTTGCTGGCAGTCTAGTACGAATTCCAAGCCCTACTGTGTATAATATGGACCGCCCACACAAAGAACAAGGTCTTCTATCGCCCATACAGGGCCAACATCTCGTCCCACTCGCTAACAAGAAAATTTTTCAGATAAAAAACATTATTATTCGGCAGTTTTCTTCTAAATTTTACGTGGATATGACTAAGCAATTCAATTCGCTCAAAGAACTACTCGAATACTATCAAACAAACACAACACAGTTGAAAAATGTTAGTATATTAAATACGTATCTCTCTCAAAAGGAACACAAAATCTGTACAGGGCCCAATTCCTACAGTGAATTAATGGCGGAGTAAAATGCAACAGAAACAGGGAACATATCCCAATCCACGGTATAGCCTTATTGGGAATTACAACACCTACCGTGTCCCATGTGCGACTAAAAAATAAGGGCAAGAACAAGGATGGCCGGGTCGTGGCTCACGTGACTGTGTCGTACAGCCTTGCGGTCGTGGTGCGTNAGGAATGAAATGGTCGCGTCGCGGTGAGAGGGGCGTCGCGCGCGAAGGGATGTAGCAGGATGCAGCGGTAGGTAAGAAATGCAAGAGTACTAACAGTAGAATCATGCCTAAAATAACGATCGCATATCGGTTGAGCTGTATGAAGAACGCTAGAGCTCTAATAACAGCGAATGGGGGGTGCGCGACAGCCGCGTGCGGCAAATCGAGTACCCGAAATCGTTCCTAACGCCTGTCTCCCCCATGCGGTCAAGGGCATCTTTCGCAGTTTGCGAGCGACCAGTCGCAGACCCATCCCGCAAGCGACTGGCGACCGGTCGCGCGACTGGCCGCCGGTCGCTAGCGACTGATCGCGCCACTGGTCACTCGATCGGTCGAGGAGGCCGCGCTAGTTATGGGTGCCGCCGTGGACGGTCCCGAAAAGATCGCGCGACCAGTCGAGCGACCAGTCGTTAGCGACTGGCGACCAGTCTGGTCGTGGACTATGAAAGCAGCCAAGCCAGGACCAACCTCCCTCGAGGTCACTGTAGGAATCGGGTTCCCGTGCGGAATCGTCGCCTGTGCATTTCTCATGTGGTAAAACATAATTGTCATTCGTTTTCAGTTTAAATTCCTTTTGAAAAATCCGATTTTACAACAACGGTGGGAATTTCAACATAGCGATGTGCAGTTGGGAAAGCTTCTTGGTGAAGGTGCATATGCTGAAGTAAGGGAAGGAACGATAAAGAAACGAAACAGTACCCAAACTCTTGAAGTGGCCGTCAAATTGGTAAGTTTGAGTTGATTCCGTAGTGAACCACGTTCAGCTATCTCGATGTTTCCAGACTAAAGGAACTGGAGATTTGAGTAAAGCAAAAATCAAAGAAATGATGAGAGAAGCCCGTCTCATTCGTAATTTTAAACATAAAAATATCGTACGATTATATGGTGTAGCGGTAGATGAACAACCGTTATACATTATATTAGAATTGGTTAAAGGTCAGTGTCTATAAATACGTTTTTTGCGTTGTTAAGCTACGTGAAGTGAGACAAATTAGGTGTCCCAACAGGTGCCACACCTGCCCAACTTGGGATTCGCGACCCACGGGCTGACCTACTTCCAGCGGGGCGGCAGTGATAGCGCCCTATACGCTACTCTGAGCGGAGAAGGCAGGAGTGCTACCCAAGGAAAATTTGCAACGTGAACTGCTCGTCCTTTTCTTGGCCACCTGACCGCCCCCTCACCCAGTACAATTTTCTCATCTGCACACATCATTTATCACACGCTCTCCTGTCCGAGAAGAAAAAGTGTCCGGTTGATTGATCTCGGTGCTTTTGGGTATCGCCCAATCGCAACTTTCACTATGAGGTGTCTGGGGTTTGATGCGTATTGGCTACGGAGTGAAATACCCGTATGGGCGATGTACGAGTCAACTCATTTCATCCCGACACAACTGATAACGACGGGTGTGGAGCAGTAGGAACGGAATTGTCGCGTCGCGGCGAGAGAAACGCGGAATGTAGCAGAATGCAGCAGCAAGTAATAAATACAGGGGCAAAAGAACTAACAGTAGAATCATGTAATAAGCGCATAGCAATTGAGCTGTATGAAGAACGCTAAAACTGTTATAACGAGGCAAATGGTCCGCGACAGCCGCGTGCGGCGGATCGATCACATAAAACCGTTCCTACTGCCCGTCTCCCGATAACGGCTCCAGAGAGGCTGACAGTTTGCTAATCCCAGGCGGATTCCGACTCAGAAAACGGCCGGGCACCACGTGCCACTCATCTCCACACTATCTCTGCTTTCTGAAGAAGAAGACTGGCATTAAGGTGGAGCTCTGAACGCTTATTTGCGGGCAAACGGAGAAAAAGTCAGTGCATTCGACAAGGTGGTGATGTGCAAAGGAGCAGCTTACGGGGTGGAATATCTTCATAAACAAAGCTGTATTCATATGGATCTTGCTGCAAGAAATTGTTTGTATTCACGAGACGACAAGGTGGTCAGTTCATAGGACACTTCTTCATATACCGACATATATTTACAGTTGTCAAAGCTCCGAATAGTTACCGTATTCCAGGTGAAAATCAGCGATTTTGGTTTGTCACGGTTAGGCGTGACCTATACTGTACGTGGCGCAAGGAAATTGCCAATCAAATGGCTGGCTCCTGAGACGATCTCAACGTTCACGTTTTCCTTGAAAACGGACGTATTCAGTTTTGGTGTAATGGTGTTCGAGATCTTCAGTAATGGAAAAGAACCATGGGATGGTTATACCAATGCTGAAGTGAAGAAAGGAGTAAGGGTTTCTTTGCTAATAGCACACATCTGCCATTAAGCAATCAATAATCGATTATTATCGATTAATTTCATGTTTACAGTTGTTGGAGGGTAAAACGCTGACTTTGCCTGATACTTGTCCGGAAGAATTCCGAAATTTCATCAAGGATCGTGTATACGCAAAAGATCCGACGGTTAGAGCTTCAATGAGTGAGGTACGCGATTTTTCAGAGGGAGAGAAGGATTGGCAAATTTGGCCCACGACGGAAAAATACAAGTTCTTTTAATGGGCGAAGATGGGATTCCGCCCATAATCAAATAAATGGATAAATGAATAAATAAACGAAAGTGTTCAGCAAATCTGACTTAGATAATGTCCGTTTGCACTAATATATCTATGTCCAGCAAATGATTCATACCGGCATCGGGTTTAGTTAGTGCTACAGTATAATAGGCTGCTTTCATAGTCCGCGAGCGAGCGTGCGAGCCGGCCGGGGGAGTACTGTCTAGCGGTATCGACCAAGATTCAGTTCTAAACAAGGGGCAATTTCATAGTCGGTCGCCCGGCCCGCCATCGGTCGCTCGGTCGCTCGCGCGCTCGCGGGCTGGGCGACCGACTATGAAAGCAGCCATACAGTAATGACGTATAGTGAAATAGTAAAACACCAGACCATCAAAAAGAACGCGTCGTGTATTGAAGAATAGCTGGTGACGACGCTATGAAGGAGAATGTGTGGAGTAAACACTGCTGTCTTCGGGTTAGGACTCGGGATATGTATTGCAGTATGAGAAGCGGCTGAAGTCTGGCTTAAATCCTGGGTAAAAATTCATTTTGATCACAAAATGTTTTGAAGCTATATAAAGCCAGAAATTGGGTGACGACAAAGAGATTGGGCTCGGCGGAGGTTTCACGCAGAGCGCGTATAATTTGGATCGGTCAGGTGCACAGCGTGAGCTTGGCTTTCTATTGATACCTCAGAAACACGAACTCCCTTTCGATACACATGCAGTACCCATTGCATCTACGGATGTGAGTGGGCACTCCAGAGAATTCTACTAGTCCTTTAGATTTGATAAGAAGGAAATTGGTAGTCAAAGGATTCGTCCTCCTCCGAAAAAAGCTATTTCTTTTGGAACAACATTTGCCCCCTTTACCACGTTCCCGAGTTACCAAGACTTTCTCCTTTAGGTAGCTGCGTTCATCGCTCAACGTTTTACAACGGAACAGTCGTTGTTTGAGAAGGTATGCAAAATAATAAGCGTAATTAGTGATAATGGCTGATAACTATGAATAGTTCCTTAGTGTAAAAAATAAGCGTGAATTCGAGTGCTAAGTGAGATCGTAGGTATACCTACCTCAGGTAGCGGTATCTCAGCAATACTACGTTCCCTAGTCGTATTCATATAAGCGAGCGGACCTTGGCACCTAGTACAACGGTTCGTTAACCTTTTTCTTGGAGCTGAGGTGGTTTAGTGGAAACTGGCACACTGCGACGCAAACTGGCACACATGGTCCGGGGATCGAACCCCCCAAAACGATGTTCATTCGGGCTAACCAACCCTTCCATCCATCCACTATTCCTTGATTGTGGTAGTAGACCCGTCCGGGAGGATAAAATCGTTGATTTGTCACGTATCGCTAGAAAAGAGCTCTACCATCCCCAACACTATGGTCTATGTCCTTATCCTGACACTTTTTTAGCAATCTGAGAATGAAAAGTCGGTTTTTGAACGCTTCGTGACAGAAAGTCCCCCGAAAGCAAAACCAGATGGTAAAAATGACGACTACAATTCAAAGGAAGTATTAGATGGACAGGTGAATAAGGTCTTTTCTCGCTGCTTGGACCAATTCCTTCAAGCCGATCTCATTTGGATTAGGCAAGTGTTCTTCTAAGTACATGCTACACAATTTCAGATGAAATTCAGAAAATCAAAGGGGTTGTAAGTGTTGTTGTCTATTGACCTTTGATAGGCTTCTTTTCTTCATACATCCTTTACTTACAGCCACCACAAACCAACTTCTCGTCGACGATGAATTCGAAGATTATAACTGTTTCTTATAATTGAAGTTTTATCAAGTCTTGTAAAAATAAGTCGTGCAATGAACAGTGAACATTTCATCGTACAAATTCATCCTAATTTCGCCGAAATTTTGTGAAAAATGGAAAATTGAAATGGCAAACTTTCAGAAGGGTTTCCATTGAAGTCATTTGTGGAGCGATAGCGCGTCCGATTAGGTTCCAGTCGGTCAGTCAGTGACATGACCTCATTAGCATGTAGAGGCTTCCCCTACTGTTGCGCTACCAATTCTGTATGCAAACGTCTTTCGTCGTGCTAATAGCTTAGAGTGCAAGGGGAAAGGAGACACAGTTAAAGGCACAGTACACGATAATTTTGGGTAGTCCAGATTATGACAAATAATGGAAGATAAGATGGAAAATAGAGTGATGAAGAGGAAAAAAGAAATGGGAAAGAAACATCGCCTCATCACTCGGCGATCAGCTGATTGTGTGTGGGTCCTAGAACGAATAACTGCGATCTGTATCGCCTCGACACTCGTCTGACGTGACATCGATCGAGGGACGGGAAGGCCGCGCGAGCCGCGAACAGGGCTTCCTCTACGCCCTAACCGTCGAGGTCTTGGGCGCGAGATGGTCCTTTCTATATCACCCTTGGGAGCCACTTGGTATCCCTCGGGGAGGAACTCAGTAACCATTTTCATCATAAACCATGCCTTTAACGTAGAGCAACTATTTGGGCACTCTGCTAATTGCAGAAATCATAGTGTCACTTTCGTTCTATGGGTTAGAGAACACAGCTACCAACAGTATTAACCTTAGGGCGGTGGGAATGGATACCGAAAAAGCCGTACAAGTTGCATTGTGCGTTCATAAATGCTCCTCAGCTTCAGATAGAGGTTAGGTGAGTACGTGTCAATGGCGCAGCGAATAGTGAAGTTACCAAGTCTGTCCAGCAGAAGTTCAGTCCCGGCTAGTGCAGTCCTTTTTGAGCCAAAGCGAAGCTTACTACCGCTTAAATAGACAAACTAAAAGCCGAACTGGTGGCAGGAGAGCACGTTGCATTCATTTCTTCACGGGCGCTCTCACAACATTACAGAGTCTCTTCGCAAGACTGATGATTTTGAAATCACTCAGCGACTGGCTGATACTGCAGATGAAGGAACGACGACTGCTTTTCAGCAGTAATTTACATGGCAATCCCTTAGACGATAAAAGAAGGTTGTCCTATAGGCCATAAACGGATTCGGTAGGAGGGTCCGTTAGTTCCGGACATGCAGCAGAGCTCAGATAACAGTTGCACTACGTTCTGAAAATACCCCCTTACTACCAAGAAGCTCGAAGTACCGAGTAGGCCTTCAAATAGACCTTGGTTGTAGGAAGCCCCATAGCTGTGGTGCATCCTTCTGAGGGTAATAAACACGAATGTTTACACTTGGCGAAAAATACAAGTAGCTTTGTGGAAGCATAATTTCAACAGAGAAACGCAGAATTCATTCCATATTCCGGTTTTCCACCATTCCCACTCTTTTCCACCACCATCAGCTGACCTACTTATTTTCAACTTTTCAAAATCTCTTTGACCCCCCAATTTCTTATCTACTTTAGCTTTATTTGGGTCCATACTACCTAGTTCCCATATGGTTCTATCTTCACCCAGGATGCTTTGTCTTATTAGGATTGGCGAGCTACAATGTAACGATTCAGTAACCTTCCCAAAATTAGCGGAATTCGAGTGCATGGCGCAATACTTCTCCAATACAGTGCTAGTACAACGCAGATGAACAGGTAGCGCCGCGTTACTTACTTAAAACAGTAACATCGTTATGTGTGTCGTCTCTCTTCTTCCCATCAGCCCCCTCCCTTATTCCCATCAGCCCGGGTGTGTGTC